ATCTTTAAATAAAATAATAAAGGTAATAAAAATAATGCTACAGTAATGAATCATCCTATTCTTATAGTGCTTAAAATCAAAATAAATTACTGCATTTATACCATCTGATCATATACTGTACAAAGCTGTAAAGAAAGTGTTTACAGTAAATATTACTGTTGTCTTAGAGCCCAATCACACTTACTATTATATCAGCCCAGGGCCTCCTTAACTGCGGCTGACTCAAAACAACCGTTCCGTTCACTGCTAGTATTTTAAGTTGGCTCAGGGTCACAATGCGCACATTGACACTTCTTCCTTTGTGGCAGGTTTTTCTGTGAAATGTTTTGGTATAAGATTTAAAAATTGACTGCTATCAAAGCGACCACATGGTGATCCAGGGTAGTGTTGTCTCGATTGGCGTCACTTTTGGTCCCCCCCTCTCTCTGACATCTCTGGATCTGCCCTTGGCGAACATGGTGATCCAGGTTCAGTTAATGTTCAGGAATGAAAGTGAAGCCGGCCCATGTCCCGCATTGCGGAACCTGGGTCGACTTTAAACTCAGATTAAATCTTTGGGCCGGCATAAAATTTATTGGTTGTTCACACCGAGGAGAAGGAGGTCCTGAGCTGACATAACTATTAAGTGTGATTGTGGCTCTCTTATTTTTGGACTTATGGACTTATAAACAAGTGGAAAACCCCTAAACAACACAATTACCTTGATAATAGTGAAAGTTGAAAAATTATTAATTTATTTTTTTGGTACTTCAGTTTGTTGTCTATTAATACCATGGTGGTATTATTATTATACAATATGAACTCTTCGCAAGTTCTAGATTAATTTAGGAATTTAAATTTGGTTTACTTGATATGCTGAAGAGGATATAATGATAAAAAGAACAATGAAACTAGATAAAAACAAAATTCCAAAAGAAATTTGACCCAATTTCAGAGGTTTGACTGCTGAACAATTCGAAAGAAAAGCTCTGTCAATCAGGATTCTTGGTTATTTTGTAGTATCAGCTTACTTTTGTTGTTATCAACAGTTTGATAAATCTTCATTTGGATAAGTGTGACCTTGGTTTCCAAAACTAATGATGTGTTTACTGTACTTATAGTGGAAGTTTATTCATACCACCTTTATGCTTATATACCTCCATGTTTATACCATGGAGGAATTAGCCAAGACCTATTGGCATACCCAACTACTAATTAGTAGGACAAGTCCTACAGTATCATATTTACACTGGAGTGTAGACATTTATAGGCAATTATCCATTGGTTATGGTTGGTCCATGATCATACTGTAGCGGTATAAACCATGGACCCTGTTAACAGATTACTGTACAAATAAAAAAAAGTTGTGAATTATTTTGATAGCAACGTTTCACTTTAAGTAACAATGGTTCATACTACTATTCTGTACTGTACTACCTTTGATGCATTGCTCATACTTTCACTATCATGCAGCAATTATTGAATATTGTAGTATATTCATATTATTGTATTTATTGTAATTAATTAAAAAGGTTAAATACAACTATTTACCAAAGTATAACTAAATATTGCAAAGTAAGAAGAGCAGTATAATTGCACAGCAGTATTAAACAAAAGTTACTGACGGCATCAGTGAGGGTTAGAGCAGAAATTGTCACCTCCCCCACCCTCCGTCTGTAAACCATACTCTACTAAATGAAAGCCCTTGGCCGCACCATGGTTTGAAGCACTGTAGGCTTGTTGGACCACTGTTGGCAAATTCCGGGAGCCACCACTTCTGTAATACAGTATAGTTTATGAAGTATGCCTAGTATGAATAGACTATAAACTTATTGTTGCATGGGAATTAAGGAATGCAAAGTTAAGACCACAGATTTCTTTGTACTGTACCTAGTATTGAATCCTCTGGCATATTAAGGTCACTGTCAGTCTTCCTACTGTACCCAAATGAAGATAATTATTTCCACCAGTCCTGACATTTCAGGAGGTGTCTCAAGCAAGTACATAGCTCCAAAAGGACAATATGATGAAGTAGGTGTCACCAGAATGCATTTGGCCTTCTCAGGAAACAATTCAGGAAAGCCTAGGAAACAGTAACTGGTAGTGTCAAGGGAGCAGTAAAATGATAATTTGTACATTACAGTATATTAAGTAGAAGGATCAAGTGCATTGATGTGGCCACAGGCCTATAAAAAGTATCTTGTGATGTGGCTAACCTTTACATGTATAGAATAATACCCCTCTTGTTTCAAAAATCATTATGATGCTAAACTACCTCCCCCAATTGGAGTGCGATCATTCTTTTAAAGTATTGGGGGCCCAAGCATTTCAGTAAAGTATTCGCTCGCGAAGTGTCTCGAAGTGGCTGAGGGGGCAGTATTTGAGTAAATCCTATTTATGAATATTAAGTTTAAAAAGAGTATAGTTACTCTTAAAAAATAATAATTATGTTGTGACTAAACCACAAAATTTCTGTGCATTGTACATGCTTACATCGTGGTGGGTGTACCTTACTTAGGCACATAATAGACCTACAGTAGCATTTATGGTGTTTTGTTAGCCAGTCAATTTCAATTCACATTTATTCTATTTTTGCCACAATGTTGACACTGCTTCTACAGAGACTATGCTTATATAAATAATTAATAATGTTGAAGTCTATTGTTAGTATCTTCCTTCGCTCATAACCATTTCTTTTTTTTATTAATTTAATTAACTGCATTTTCCTACTGTTAATGTGCATTTATAAGGCCCAATAAAAAAAATGATTAGTTTATCACCCTAGCGCGCATGCCTTTTATGGTACTGAAAAAAAAAAAAATTTGAAAAAATTTTTTTTGAACATTTTTTTAAAATTTTTTATTTAATTTATTTATTTTTTTCATTTATTTTATTAAATAGTTAGTAGATATTGTTTGCATTATTTAAATCATGTTTTACTTTGAATATCAATGCACCAGCAAACAA